TCGAAAACCTGTGGGCTCTTGTTCAGTATGTATATGTATTGACACCAAAAGCCTTCCACATATGGCGTGGCGATTACGGTTTAGGTGACTTAACCCTATTAGTGGCAGGGGGGGTTGTTTTTATCCACCCCTCAGGTTTTTCGGTAATATCTCCGAAACCGCTGAAGCTACGATGCTGAAATTTTCTGACTTTTCCTAAAACTAAATTGGGCACATTCCCTGAAAATTTCAAGATCATAACTTTACCAGGGGCGGCTCCAGAGCACTGGGAATTGGGGGTCCTATTCGTGAAGCGAGTCATTTGGGCGAAGATCACGATGCTGCACCAGTTTTACGAACAGTGAATGAAAGGTATCATGTGATAACATATACAAAGTTATTGTGCATCCTCTTTTGACACGTTTTTGCTATAATAGGCGGATCCAGGCGTCCAAAAAGGGGGGTTATTTTTTACCTCCCAATATAGGTGCCCTGACACCGCCTATGCATGACCAATACAATTTTAGTCGTTCTCTCATAAGAAAATTGTAACATAACAAGACCATTGCCACCCTTTTTAGAAACAGTACCAACAAAAACCTTATTTACTATACTTTTTGTGTACCCCCAATCTCAATGATCTGTATCCGCCTATGATTTTTGAAAATGCATATTTTTAGGATCCATGTGAATTCCTGGTTCATTCTCTATCGATCGGCAAAAGTTGCGTTAAGATTGGTTCAGAAACCTGGCCGTGATAAACAGTCTTAAATGTATCTGCAATTTGCCCGTTTTTACCCCCCTCTACCCCCCTATTGACATTTTTTAATTTTTTTTAGAAATGTAGATCTCGTTGAGCCAAGTCCAATGCCGTTTGAATTTTGAAAATCGGCCGGTTAGATCTCGAGATATCAAGGGGGGGGTCGTAAACAGCCCCCCCCCCCTGCCACTAATATGGGGTAGCCAGGAGCCTGCCACTAATAGGGTTAAGAGACGCCCGCCACAAGCACCGCCCAACCGCTGCCACAGGTTTAGACGGCGTTGGTCCGCATCAAAGCCAGTGTGCTGGAGAATACATTGGCTGAAATGCTCCAAAACATTCGCCACTGTGTTTTTATGAAAGGTGGCTACATGCTCAGTCAAAATAAAAGTACCAGAATGTTTTGCTTTTTAATTACAGCGGGAAGAAAGATGTCCGGATAATTTCGTTACACCCTCTGTAATGTTCAAGTGGTTGCTAAATTCGAAATCAGCTCCAAAAACTAGCCTAGAAACATGTTAAACTCGAAAAAGTGAACCGAGGTCATCAAAGGTCATTGAGCTGACCTGACCTTCATGTGACACCCACCCTAATGCATGGGACCAGCATCATATCACATATTTCAACGCTTGAAACCACGTAAAGACTGCAAACGCGCGGCTAATGCGAGCCGACATACGCCGAATCGCGATTCGGGCCAAACATGGCCTCGAGAAATAGGTCACAGGTCAAAGGTCATTTGGGTCAGGGTCATGAAATTTTCAGGGCAGGAGTAAAATTGATAAAATCGGGAGTATTGAAAGTTTCGTCGCGATCGGACGGTTTTTACGCGAGTTACTCACGAAAAACCGATGGGGCCCGCTCAACGCCTCCCCTATACGGGCGAGGGAAAAGCGCAACCAAAAAGACAAATATGCACATGCGATAACCTATACTGCGAAAAAAGGTGCAACATTTTTTAACGTCGCCGACAAATTGTAATTACCCCAAGCTCAGGCAGATGTATGGTAGAAAATACCCCAACTGAAATACACTACGGCGGATATAAAATACCCTACGGCGGAGCTCGGTTGCAATTTGTAAATACGCGGCGAGTGTAGCAGCGACTACACGTGACCCGTGCTCCTCCCCTCTCACTACGGTGTCGTCACATCCTGAACATCGAGAGAAATGACCACGTGATGACACATTACGTGCACGCACGCCGAGCGCACGCAAAACACGCAGTTCACTGAGTCAATTTGCCGTCATTACGTCTCCTACTACCGTCGTTGCCTGCGGTAATGACCTGCTAGCTCAGTGCGCAGGTCCCGCCAGCTGATACTGGGTCTGAAGTGCATCTTTAGCTAGAAGGCAAAAAGGCAATTGGCTGTCGGCACGACGGCAGGCGGCAGCTGCACAATGCACAGTGCACACTGCACAACGTGCAGGCTGGCCACTGATCAGTGATTGCCTTGCCACGATTTGTCTAAAATGCTGTTGTCAAGCGCAAAATTTGGGTGGGTGTAATGCTTTTAAGTTTTGCAATAACTTCTGTTGTTTTAATGCTGTTATAGGGCGGAAGGGCAGCCTGCAGAACTTTCCCTGCATCAAGGCCTCACATTGATTTGGAAAGCCAACTTTGATCCTGGACTGTGCTGTTATATTTTTACATTGCGGATTACATGGAACATTGCGCCTCATTCTTATGTTTTAGATAGTAGGTACCCGATGGACTCATTCACAATTCAAACAGGATCAGGAACTAGGAAGCCAGTGCATGCCTAAATTTTGAGAGGGAATTAATTTGAACGGTATCATTGCGTTGATGTCAGAGGTTACTTCTTCAAGGAAATAACGACTGATTTTTCGTGACTAGCACATGCATATTGTATATCGCATTCGTTAGGTATTTCGTAAAATTCATGGCTATTTGCCAAGCCGATTTAGCTGGTCATGACTACTAGACCAGCAGAATCAAACTTTAATGGGAGCATACGAAAGTCAGGTAAGTAAAACACATTTGTTATTGCTGATATTGTCTTGTTCTCCGATATGCTGTGCCGCACAACTACCGAGTATTGCGGCGCAGCATAGGTGTACAGCTGGTGTGAATTGCGCCTTCACCGGATGTCTGACAGTGTAATCAGCGACAAATGCCCGTGTGTGGGGAACTGCCAGCACGGGTCCAGGCGATGCGTTTTCGGTGGATGAATTCGTGGCAGATGGTTCGGCCACAGACATGCTCACCGAGGGAACTGTGCCGGTAGTTTAGTGCGCATATCTTGTGAGGAAATCAAACCATTATCTCGGATTTCTTTTGGGGGAGGGGTGTCATGACTCATAACCCTCGCGGGCCCGGGGGGGCGTTTTTCGCCCCCCCTGGCGAATATTTGCGATAACTCCCGAACGCTTAGGGATAGGAAGGCGAAACTTTCAGTACCTTTTCTCCCATCAATTTGACATCTTCTGAAGTAAAAAATTTGGACCTAGCCCCCTTGATGACGTCACAAGGTCCATTTTTCTAGACCCCTGCACGGCAAACTTCGGCGTCACAGACGCAAAATTCAAATAGCTGCTAAAAATAGAGTTTAAGAGATAAAGACAAATTACGAGCACGGCTGTGTAGCGTTTGACCTAGAGAAAAATAGAAAAATAGTTTTGGTGACCTGAGGTCAGAGGTCAGGTCAAAGACCCCGAAATGTGGTTTTAGTTTTTCGCAAATAACTTCGACAAAAATGGTCCTAGAGCTACGGCAGTGGTACCATCGCATTCGCCTTGTCAAGCCGCGTCGAATGATATATATTTTGTTCGGAAAAGGTCAAGTTTCATGTTGACCTCATGTGACCTCGAATGACCTCTGGTTGACCTTGACACATGAAAGGTCGTTTATGATGGATTTGTACCCGCTGATCACGAATCTGGCATCTATTTTCCTCTAAGCCTTCATTTAGAGCTTCCGGATGGCAAAATTGTCTTATTTATTATTACTAACTTGAATCAGTGAAATAGCCTCTAGCAGGGATACTTTTCTGTGACCTTGACCTTTGAGCAGCCTTGTATCGTAAGATGAACCACAAATAGGGAACTGATAAGCCTCAAAACATTTCAAAACATCTTGGAAGTTAGCACGCAAGATGTGCGAAAAAGTGCCAAGTTTGAGGTCAATTTTGAGCGTGACCTTGACCTTGACCTTTGATTTGGAGCACATTTTCAGAATCCTCAGATTCTCTTATTTCGTTTGACACCCAATTTTGCCGGTTTGATGCAGTCTGCCGTCCTCTAGAAGGCTTACTTTGAGATCACTACACATGTGCCGGTTTTGGCCTTTGACCTTGACCTCTGACCTTGAAAATTGACCTGAGGTCAAAAATTTTAGGTGCATTAGAATCGTCTCGTATGGACCTTTCGTTTGGTATCACTTTTGTTTCCGTAGCTCCCTTATTTACGGAGTTAGACAGGGGGGCGAAAAACGCCCCCCCCCCCCCCGGGCTGCGGTGGTTGGGATTACCCCCCGGGCCCGGCCGGGATAACGTCGGGATGCCTAGGGATCTGCTCCTGTATGACTGTCATGAATCTAGCTTATAAATGTCGATAAAATATAACTCCCTGGTCGGCCTGATCACACATGCTCAATAGACCATCCTTCCCTGTTTACATACCTATATCCAGGGCTTGCCCCTCTCAGCCGTACCCTGACTACCCGTCACCAGGGCGCGTCCAGTTCCCTACTCAACTGTGTCCGGGGTGCGTCACGTCCGATCAAGGGTGCGCCCTGTCCCGTGCCCCGGGCTCGTCTGTCCCCAGCTCACCCATCTCCAGCTCTCGTCCCTTGGATAAGTTCCCCGTTCACCCATCTCCAGCGCTCGTCCCTTAGATAAGTTCGATGCTCACCCGTGTCCAGCGCTCATCCCTTGGATAAGTTCAATGCTCACCTGAGTCCAGCGCGCGCCCCTGTGTAGTGTATTGTAAAAGTTCAATGCTCACCTGAGTCCAGCGCTCGTCCCTTGTAGCCGGGCTGGTCGATGGCGTGTATTGGCGTGTATTGGCGTGTTTTGTAGTGTATTGTGTAAGTCCCCTATACTCACCTGAGTCCAGCGCTCGTCCCTTGTAGCCGGGCTGGTCGATGGCGTGTATTGGCGTGTATTGTATGTGTATTGTGTAAGTCCCCTATACTCACCTGGAGTCCAGCGCTCGTCCCTTGAAGCCGGGCTGGTCGATGGCGTGTATTGGCGTGTATTGGCGTGTATTGTAGTGTATTGTGTAAGTCCCCTATACTCACCTGAGTCCAGCGCTCGTCCCTTGTAGCCGGGCTGGTCGATGGCGCCGTTGGCCGTGTACGGCGCCCACGGCGAGTACGGGTCGTAGTGGCCGTACCGGTTGTACACCGGTGACGAATGGCCGACCACTCCGAGCGCAAAGAACAGACCCACGACCAGACAGAGCACCAGTAGCGTCAGCACGATCTTTCCGGCGATCAGCAGCCCCGTGATCACGGTCTGTGCCACGGCGCTGCCCGATATGGCAATGAACCGAGAGTCAATGAGGTTCTCCAGATTGACACGAGGTAAGTACCCGGTGAGGTCACGGCCAGCCAGAAGGCGGACGGACTCGGTGAGAGCATGACCAACGGCATGGATGTGTGGTGGCACTGATCGACTTTGTGCGGTGACATTCTTGCTATGCAGATCGACAGTCAAGTTCGACGTTTTCGCAGATTCAGCGGAGTGATTGAGTTGATCCGCTTGAGACGTTTTCCAAGCCAAGCTGGAGGTATTTGTTACTACAGCGTCAGTCTCTACGGATGCCGTTTTTCTTCCGTAGGACGCAGATTGCTCAGAGGCGCTGGGCAGACGCTCCAGGCGATGCAGCAAGTCCGACTGCTGATTGCTGACCTCAGGAGGCCGCAGGGTACCTTTTGCCGTCTCTGCCGGTAGCACTAACGCGTCTGTCACTGTCACCGTCGCCGTCGCCGTCGCCGTCAGGACAGTAGCGAGCAGCAGTGCGGAGGACACCATGGCGCGGCCGGCCCGAGTCACCACTGAACCGCGTCTGATGGAGGGCCGATGGCGCGGGCCGCTCGTCAGCAGCCGCGCGGGAACGGGGCCGTGCGGGGCGGAGAAGAGTGAAACGGGCCGCCACCGGCGACGGACGCCGCTGATCGACCGTAGTCGGTCGGTAAACACGAACTGGACGTGATCGGTGGCACGGGCAACGAGCAGAACATTCTCGGAATGAGCCATTTAACTATGCGCCCTATAACACGCTCAGATTTACTACCGAGCGTCGGCTTTCTATTCTACTGTGTTTCATGTTCATAAAAGCAAGACGTCTTTCAATAACTAAATGTTTTGGAATATTTTACCGGCAAACAAAAAATGCTTGAAATTTTCTATCGTCGGATGGAATGTGGAGGATTAGAGCCTACGTGAAGCACCCGATCATCCAGAGCTTTGAACTATAGAGCTGAAGCGGTATATCACATCGGTACCCGACGGGCATTGTTCTATCTCAGCACATTGCAATCAATAAGTAATCATGACTAACTAATAAGAGCCGTTTTCATGACGGTCATCTGGTACACATCTGGTGCACATTTGGTGCAGATTAGGTGCAAATTTGGTCAAATTAGGTTCAGTGTGTCTCTAAGTATCTATCAGCTAGGGCTGCACTAATTGCTTATATGCCTGCTTTGTCATATTATCAGAAAGTATCATCGATTAAAACACTAAAATAAATGCATGAAATACAGATATTTGCTGTAAAAGAGATTAGGCGCAGATTTGGTCAAATTAGGTGCACTCGCCAGTCGCCGGATAGTCCGTCGTGAAAACGGCTATTGCTGACGAGCTCAACATAGCGTAAAAGACTGCTCTTTATTTAATGTCCTTAGAAAACCCTAGGCTGCAGTGCAATGTCCTTGTCCCTACTATTTATTACCTAGCATCAGTGGGATTGGGATTGTTAAGCATTAAAATGATGCTAAAGACAAGATAAAAACCGGTAGTTATTTCATATGGCACATGCAATTTTCGCGTAATCTGGCTTAAATCTGCTCCTTCAAAATCAGATTCGTCAAGGCCATTTACAAAGCGGTGTTTGGTTCATTAATTAAGATGCAAATTCACGGATGCACGGATATCATTTCTCGTTGGTCGATGCAGTCGTCAGTCCGAAGGTCCGTCATGAACCAAACCCGAGCTAACTAGCTATGTTCGAAGTGCGGAATACATGTGCCAGCCGGCGGAGTTGTGCTATAACACCGCCAGATGTGAGGGAGGCCCATGGGACGGCAGCTAACGGGTGCACTCAGACAGAGCCGTGATCTAACACGGCGGCGCCACCTGTCGTATTATGGAGTGGAACTGGACGCCGGGCTATATCGCTGGACGCTGGGAACTGGGTGACAAACGGCGGACACGCGTGGGTAACAAATATCGGGAATATGATGGATGGTTTAATTAGGAAGGTGGTTGGTATAAGTAACCATATAGCGATATGGACGTAAGCGGAAAAACAACACACATTCTTAGCGTGAACTCAGTGGAGAGGTCAGATATGCGTTCTTGGTTCGACTGTGTCATGTGCTTCGAACCGAGCGTCACTTTTTTGCTATGCATAGCCACGGAAGAGATATTGAGAGTGCTGTTTTTAAAGCGAGCCTCGGGCCTCCTCAGGGCCACAGGAAACCTTATCAGTGTGACATGCGCGTTATACAGCATGCAGTGATAAGTAGGTATAAAAAATGTTACGGCTGTTGGGCAGAAAGCTTACTTTGCTTATGTCGTATACCTGTAACCTGAAAAAGGTACCGTTCATGTATCTGATATATGCGTCAAAATAATGTCCCGTTTGTTTTCATATATCTGCAATGTGCAATGTGAATGCATATTCTGAATTGCTGTTAACACTGTTTTGAGAGACACGCTTAAACATATAATCAAGTAAAGTAACCGTACTCTCATAGTTAATATCCAAAATCGTAAGAAAAAGGCCTGATAATTCCGAGGAGCTTTCGGCTTACGCATTCTTCAACTCGCTCTGTTTCAACTTCAGAGCGAGTTGAAGAAGGCGTAAGCCGAAAGCTCCTCGGAATTATCAGGCCTTTTTCTTACGATTTTGGATATTAACTATGAGAGTATATGGTTACTTTTCTTGATTATATGTTGAATGCATTTCCCTTCGTCCGGTATCTACTTTAACCCGCGCCCTGCTGGGGGTCCTGGATTTCCACGGGGGGGTGTTTGAACACCCCCCCTTCTAACTCGGCTCCTGGGCCACGTAGCGATACGCGGAAGGCGGCGTTCGAAAGAGCGTAAAAAATAATGACGAAATCACTTCGGTCAATTTTTTGGTCAGGTCAAAGGTCAGGTCACCAGAGGTCATTGAAGACAAAATTTCGCCGATTTCCAGGTCGAATGTCGAAAATTTCCAAGAAGCCAACGCATAACTCGGGAACCAATAGAGCTACAGCGCCGCGGAAAAGTGCATTCGATAGCCCTATTAACGTCCTTTCTGAATAATTCTCTCAGATTTGACCTAACGTCAACGGTTTTGCCTGCAGGGGGCAAAAACTGCAAAAATAGCCGATTTTTTCGGAAACAGTTTTTCTGCAATAACTTTTGACCCAAGCCTTGTACGAGCTTACTTTTACCGGCATTGTGTTCCTCTCATCAAGACGCATCGAATGAACTATAACTTGACCTTGAAAGGGCAACTTGAAAATTTGACCTCAGGTCAAGGTCATGACCTGACCGGAAAGGGTCATGTTGCATATCAGTCGATCCATATCGTCGAGCTGAACACATAAGACATTTTCATCGCTCTAGCCTGCCTCTATCAAAAGTTATTTGCGAAAAACTGTTAGATACCATTCGTGACCTAAGATGACCTCAGGGCATAAACAAGGGTCACGGACACCATTTTCATGTTCAGTGTGTCTAAACCACTTGTACTTCGGTGTTTGGGAGTGTTTATAATGTCTTTCGTCCAAAAGAGACGCATTTCATTTTTCTCCCATTGACTTATAATGGGGAGGCTGCAAAATTGACCTGACCTTAGGTCATCGATATCAAAATTATGAGATATACATTTTGTACATGCTATTGCTCTTAGCAATCGCTGAAAGTTTCAAAGCGATCGGTCACTCGGTGTAGCTATGACAGACATTGAAACTTTTTATGAGGTGAGGTCACTTCAAGTGACCTGGTGACCTGACCTTGAATGACCTTGGTCTGAAATTTTCACAACATGTGTAGAATTGATGTATGATAAGGTGTACCAAAAACGGCGGCGCGGAGCGCCGCCGTTTTTGAAATATTCGCGAAAAACCACAAGGGGGGTGTTCAAACACCCCCCCCCCCCCAGCAGGGCGCGGGTTAATGATCAAATTATACGCATTTCGCAATCGCATGCCTCCCAACACGCGGATCAGTCCACCCGATGCCCGATAGACTTTCCAGTAAAAACTGGTCCGCTGTGGACGATCGCGATGGCCGGTAGTTGGCCGACAGCTCAGTGTTCGCCACAGGCCGCAAAATCCTAATCCAGTCCAGCCCAGGCCCATGGGCTCACAGCCCGGCCCAGTCCGAAGCCGTTCATGCTAAACGTGTCAAAGCCCAGCCCGGCCGAGTCCGTAAAAAAAAATGGATTAAAAATTATTGAAACCACACAGGTAGTATGTCATCCAGCAGGCACCGGGAAGTCCTTATTGCGGGTAACGCTTCAACGACAGATGCTTTTATCTGTGATACTGAAAGAGAATTGGGCTACATGAGAAATCATTGAAAATAAAAGTACTACCACTTCGATTTTTGTCCACAATCTCATCGCAGATTTATACAAAATGGAACGGTATTCCTGATGCCGTTCTTTTAGGTACTTTACAGTCACAGGGGTGAAAAAAAGCTCCGACTCGCCGACGCACGCAGGTGACAGCTTATGACATTTGATGAGACAGCTGGCGGCTTGTCAAATTGATAGTTGACAACGAAAAGCTATAAACAGTCATCACGTCCGCAATCCCTCACAATTCACATTCATTCCAAAGCATAATACATATCCTAATGTGAAGTCACGTTAAAATCATACCACGCAAAAATATAGCAGACGCGTCCACCAGCTTCCGACATCCCTGCTGGCCAATGAAAAAGGCCGGCCGTGTCGTGAGTATACCGGTGGGTTCGATGGGTCAGCTCAGGCCCATGTCGTCCCCTATCTCCGCGTGTGTCCACTAACACGAATGACGTCACGCATGTGGGCGGAGCTATGGGCGGAGCCTAACGCACGCGGCAGTCCAAGCCGCCATATTTGAATTTATATTTTAATAGAATCTTGCCAATATTTTGGGTGAAGTCAATTTATATGGATAGCTTCGTGACAGTTTAGCTATACTAATATTAATATAATATGGACGTGCGCATATTCAGCTTGGAATTGCTATTAAAGTTCCGCACCGCGTAGATTCGAACTCGGGACCTTTGGAATACTGCGCGGGCACGCTAACCACTACACTACCGCGACCGCGCGGCGGCCGGCGGCAGGGAGGCTGCGGAGACATGGGGGGACATTTTACGCTTTTGTGAAAAAAGCAAAAGATTTAGCGAAAAACACGTAATAGATAACTTGCAGAAAATTGTCTGCTCTTTCAGATAAGATACTTAGGTTTGATATATCTTGTGCAGACTTCATTCTACAGTGCTTCAAAAATCGCTCATTTACATGGGGATTGAACGGGGCTTCGAGACTTGACTCCAAATGACGTCACGAGCTGACGTCACGAAAAGGTAGAATCGCCGGACGACCCTACCTGGTATATAGGGCCTTGGGTCAGCTACAATTATGGCGCGATTCTTATAAATAGTGGCTAGTGATTTGTTGCACCACATTTTATCACAACGTAAATGACGTCAGTAAATTTGTGAATTATTTTTCCATCTGTAAGAGTCCATGTAAAAGCAGTTATTTGTTACATATTTAGATTGTTTAATCCCAAAGTAATGTTTTCATGTGCCTTTTGAGCTATTTGCTAAAATACCTACTCATAAGT